GCAGAGGGAGGCCTTCTTGAGCGGAATGTTATTGCTACCTCAAAAAAAATAAAAATAAAAAAATAAAAAAAATAAAAAAATTCAGATTTCCAGCATGTTAGCATACCTGTGTGACTGGATAGTAGTGTGTCTACTGTTGAACCAAAGACAGTTTTAAAAGGGTTTTTTTTACCCTCCTGAGTTAGAAAACATTAAAAAGATTACCTTGCCAATGGATAAAATATAACAGCATTATACATGTGAAGGGAGGATGGGTACCCTAATTCCCAGCAGTGTAGGAAGAGATGAAAAATTGCTTGGATTGAACACAATTCCAGCAAGACAGACTTCCTGAGATGGCCAGAAACCCTAAACAGTAGCAATGACCAAAAGGTTTAACTGGATTTTTTTAAAAAAATGCATTTAGTCACACTATTTCTCTTTGTTTGAAAAAAGGAAAAGGGGAAAGGGGATAAAATATAAAAGAAATAGCGGAATATTTGGAACCAGTGCGCACAGGGCAACAACAAAACAATTAAACCTGCCTAAACATGCCAAGAGCATGGACCTTCCATAGAACAATCAAAACCATGCAACAGAGAGCACTGTTGTTATCTGGAGTCCATGTGTGTTCTTGTCTCCTTACAGGGGAATACAGGAAAGAATGGGAAATTGGCTGCTGTGCAGGTGCAGGCCACAAGGAAACAAGAAAAAGAATAGATAATTTTTGCCATAGGTTGAAGGAAGTTATTTATCAAGTCTGCTTATTGAGCAAGAATGGAAGGATGAGCCTAGTATGCAAGTTATTTGGAAGCCAGGTGTGCACAACATGCCAGACCTGGTGCTCAGCCATTACTCTTGCCACGTTTGACTGAAATGGTGCACTGAGTTCTACATGCATAGACTTTGTTCCTGTCCACCATGTCCCGCAAGTGGAAAAAATTCCTGTGAACACTAATGGAAAGCCAGAGATGGGGGGAATTGAGCTGGGTAACACAGTTTGAAAGGCAAGGCATGGTTTGGGAACAAAGGATATCTCTGGAAGCAGGGAGAGGGCAACAGAGAATTCAAAACTGGACAACAAGAGACCTTTGGGGTGTAGTAAAATAGGAAGAAAGCAGAAACTGGACTATTGCTTTGTTGAAATGAGTGTATTCAGGAACCTATCCGGTTTGCAGGAACAGGAGGCATATTTTCCTCAAATGCAGAATGAAGTCTGTATTTCAATGGAGGCTGAAACATTCACTCACCTGAGAAGATGCAATTTGTCATATAGTTATCAATATATCTATATATCACCAATTTGTCATATAAATAGTAACTCAGGAAATACTTTATGCATCTGACAAAGTAGACCATCAACGCATGTGCCATAACACATAAAGACTGCAAGGTACTGCAAGACTCTTCCCCCACCCCCCCTTCCCCTTTTTTTCTTTTGGTCTTGCTGTTCTAAGGCTGATTTACACAGAATGATTTTGCTTGCATCTAGGATGAAAAGACAAATTCATGAAGCAAGTGTATGTTTCTCCACACCCCCTCACCCATCTTATTTTGTCCCTATGTAATAATATAGGCATTTCATGTGCACTCCTAATACTGAAGCCATTTTGTAAAATAGCACTTTTCCAAGCAGGGTGCTACATATCCTTTTCCTATTATCTATTTTAATTTCAGCCACATCCATAAAAATGTAAATAAAGTTTCATTTGCATCTATCAAGCCTTACCAGTCTTTCCCTTCCATCTTCCCCCACTTCATTCTATGGCACTCACCCTGATACCAGTGAAATTTGCCTCTTGCAGTGATAGCAGTTCTGCTACTCATAAACTGCAACAAAGGCTCAAAATGCATCATCCATAGCACACAAGAGTGATTTGAAAAAGTGAGAATACATCAAAGCAGTGAAGAGATGCTATGAAGTAAACTATTACATCTTGTTGCAGGAGACTATCTAAATTCAGATAGTTTGTGTGTTTCTACAGTACAGGAATTCGGTGCTTTTTAACCTTCTGTATATGTCCATTAGAACAATCACTCTGGATCTGCAGGAAATTATCACTTCTTCTTTCACAGAGTAACAGCTGATATTAGTTTTGTCACAGCATTCTTCTCTTCACATAAGCATGGTTCCTCTCTCTCTCTCTCTCTCTCTCTCTCTCTCAGATATATATTTTAAACATGTCAAGTTTCTCTAACATTGAGAAGGGATGCCTCTAGGCAGAAAGCCACAGATTCATTCATCACTTGCTCTGTGGTTTCAGTCTACGCCCTACATTAATCATTCAACACATGAGAAAAAATATTTTAAAACTATTTGGAAATAAAGATGCACAGCCTTAAACTCAATAATACTACAAGTCTGTCTTTGATAGGAAGCCTTATGGAATGCCTGTTGTCCCCAAACAGAAGATTATAAACTATATCTGTAGACTTCAGTAATAATTTTTATCCTTATGTGGCATTTTCTTATTCTATTTTTCTTGTTTTTTCTTGTGTTCCCCATCCATGTACACATGTTTTTGTATAATGTTGTCATTTGTCTTATTCACCTGGTGACACACATGGGATGTTTTGTACTTCAGTTTTTATTGTGTGGATCAGTAAATGCATTATCTCATCCCCTTGATCTGTATTTTACACCTCAGTACAACTGTAATATCTTTCTTTTGTTTACTGCTGAACCAATCTACTGCTATGTAATCATTCTTTAGAGTTTTTACAGATTAATTTTCTTTCATTCATTTTTGAAACAAACATTTGATCGCAGATGTTGTTTTATGACCATCACACGAGGTAATATGGGGTTTGAGTCTCTACTCCTGGTACACAGTGGTCCTGATCCAAATCAGGGCTGTACCTGCCTACGCAAGAGTAAATCAAAAGCTAACATTCTACTACATGCCATATGACTGGTGTTATCTGTAATTTCGCTCTAAGCTATTGAGATGGAGGATGACTGCGTTTTGTTTGCATCTCAGAGCAGAGGTAAAAGAAGCATGGGGAGGTAACACTGTTCTCTGTCTCCCCCATCATTTATGCTGCAAGGTGGATGCTTTTATGAGCAGTGGGAAAGATAGCCCTGCCTTCCATCACACTGAATAATGGGGAGACCCTTCTCCCCTTCCATCTCTGGAGCAGCAGTGCTGCAGCTTTCTTCCAGTGCTACCCCAAAACTGAGTGTGGCAGGAAGAAAGGAAATGCCCAGTCCTTACCTGCATCTCTGCTCTACCTGTGCTATCACTTCGGTGCAGTCAGTGAGTGAGTTACAATCCCGGAGAGCTTCAATCACCTCTCCATAGCCCTGCCCACCACTTTGTTTACGCCAAGCACAATTATTTATATTCAATGATTTATTTAAGTAACTAGAATCCAACAGCAAATCTTCCCTCGTTTTCATTTCTGCACAGGCCACATATAGCTGGTGCCTATATATTTCCCAAACATATTTGCCTTCTATAGTAGATATCAAGAGCCAGAATATGGTGAGACAGGAGAAAATTAGTGGAACCTGAAGGACTGTTTTGAGATTCTAGATAGCACCAAGCATGGCCAGTACAGCTTGCAGGCACATGGACCCTGACTGGGACATCATGAAAAAACCTCTGGCAGATGAGAGCCACACCTCTCCTGGTACCTCCAGCCAAGGGGGACCTGTGTGTAAGGTCTCGGTATGAGAAAGAAACTATAGTGACAGCAAAGTTTTTGAAGGGAAGACTGAGAAAGAGGCTTGAGCTCTTGCAAGTGTCTTTTGGGGAATGCCTCTATCTGGAGCTCTAATGGGGGCAGTTCCAGCTGTGCTCGACCTGTCTATTTTTGGAAGCACATTCAGATATCACAAGATATCTTAAATCTTTTTGTGATGAAGAAGCAACCCATGTAAGCACTGGACTCCTGCTACTAGACTACCTGGGGAAGTAGGGTGAACATAATTATGAGATTGGTGTTACTTTCCTTCATTGTTTATTTAATTTGTAAGTTGGTCAGTAGCAAATGTTCTCAGGGTATGTTACAGAAGCTGAAAAAACACAACATAACACAACAGCACACAGGAATGTGTGTGTGTGTGTGTGTGTAAAGATAAGCACAAACTCTAAACTCTAAAACACCCAGGAGAAAAGAAAGGTCTTCAGCTGTCATCAAGAAAATAAAACCAGCTGCCAGGTGAACTTTTTTTGGGGAGAACATTTCATAAGTGAGGTACCATGATCGAAAAGGTCCTCCACTCTTATGCTACCTATCTAACTTTATTTGGTGGAGGTACTTGGAGGAGGGCTCCTGAAGATGGCCTGAAGGTCCCATAGAGATACATATGGGATTAGATGCCGATTTGGAATATCTTTCCATCTATCTATCATATCAAATGTATAAACAGCCCTTCATCACATCAAAATGTGGTCCTAGATACCATGGTCCTTATCATTTAGCACTTTCAGAGTGAGGCCAAATTCTATTTCAAAGAAGCAATTTGAGACCACATTCCAATGGGAAGGGGCACAGGCAAAAATGCTGCAGCCAAAATGCAAAAAGGATATGCATAATTTAGCTTAAAGCTATTCTTCCAGAGATAATTCTTTTTTAGAATTTGGGGAAATGCATGAAAGAGAGGAAACCACCAAACCAGAAGTATCCAGATGGAAGTGCATGGGATCAGGGAAAGGGGGTGATGCCACTGGAGCACCCCAGAAAGGATTAATTTAGTTCTCTGGTCTGTGGTTCTGCAGCCATGCTGTAAGAGGTGGGTAACTGGATGACCTCCAGATATTATGGACTTTAATTCCCATAGTCCTTTATTATTAGCCCTGCCTGGTGTAATCCAAAACATCTGAAGAGGACCAGTTTGTCTACTCCCGCTAAGAAATGTTGGGTTGCAATGCAGTGACAAAAACTTTGTTAGTAAGACATTAATAAACATGAAATATTCTGCTTGTAAATGTTGTAATTCTACAAATTAAGAGAAGAAAGGAGGAGGAGAATATGCTAAGCATGTAGGTGTTGATTACAATTTTTCTAAATAAGGTCTAGAAACTTTCTTTGTTGTAGTAAAATTGAACACCTCTTGGATCAGCAGATGAATACCAACTGCACATCTTTTGAAGGGTCTGAGAAAGAGCTTTAGGTCCACAAAAGAAAACACCAATACTGCCACTGTCAAGAAAATCAAGAGAACAATTAAATTTTTAAGATTCTAAATGCATTTCTTTAAAAGGAAAACCCCAAACATGATCACTGTAACCCAAATTCCTCTTTTTCAGAAAATCAGGAGTTATGGGCACCTATGCAGGGTGGTCAGTGATGGTTTTGTGTAAGGTTTCTAGGTGCATAGTTCAGATGATTTTTCAGGAATTTTATTGTATTTAGCTATTTTTTCTCTTTAAAAATAGCATCCTTATTCCTCTACCTTTAGTTTTCTATACAAAAGATCAAAGCTGCTAACAGTGAATAAGCCTTCACCCCACAAAGAAAAATAAAGCAAAATAGCATGACAACACTGCATCTACAGCCAACAAGCAGTGGAGACCTGCACCCATCAGCAAGAACAAAACAAAACAATACATAATAAATAACAAAACAAAATGATTAACAATCTTCTTCCGACAGAGTCCTCCAGGAGAATCTCATCTTTGCAAGGTGATGGAACAGATATTATGATGCTGATCACCTGAGCCTTGAGAGCAGCCTTAGAGACCCTGCTCAGAGACCTGCATCCAGGTCTTTTAGAGTTTTAAGACAGGGCCTTTTCCATGGTGCCTCCATTTTTGTAGAATTCCTTCCCAAGGAAGATACATATCACCCCATTTTTGTCCATTTTTATGCTTCTTGCCTGTTTCAATCTATTCTAATAAAAATGGTGCTGTGGGGTAGATTCTGAAAATGGTTTCAAACTTCTGCTGATTCTCTTGCTGACATTATTTAATTCATAATAGGAATATTTTATGCATTTCTTCTGTTCTTTTTTTCTGTTCTGTATGTGTTGCCATAGATAGGCATTTTATAGTCTTTTTGCTCCTGCAGCGGGACTTTCTTTTCCATGTGCTTCTCAAAACATGGAATTTTGGGAGCATGTGCAGAGAGGAGGATGCAGAGGGGAGAAACAATCACCACTTAGCCTTCTATTGACAAAGGCATTCCAGTGGAAGAGATTAAACCAGGGGTCTCAAACTCGCGGCCTGCAGGCCAATTGCCGACGGGCAGGGCACGGGGGAGGGGCCCTGCGGCTTTCAAAGCGCTGGTGGCGCCCGGGCCGGCCTCCAGGAGCGACGCGGGATGAGCGGCCCACCACCACCGCGGTGGTGGAATACTGGATGCGGCCCAGCCTCACCCAGACTCTACTTCCAGCGGCCCCCAGGTAAGCTGAGTTTGAGACCCCTGGATTAAATAGATGCAGCCTTCCATCACAACTTTCCCACACAGAGGGATTCCAGAGATTGTGATGGCTATACATTAATGCATATAATGCCCCAGCTATGCTGGGATGTATTTATTCTTAAGAACATATAACAATACATGATGTCTACTTTATCCTACCCCTGAGAAAAGGAAGGGTTGTGTGACAAAAAGTACAGCTAGCCTCATGACCATTATTTGGGGGATGCTTAGAAGGACACTGAATGGCAAAAGGATGGAGTTTTGAGGATAAAGCTTCTACAGTTTTATCAGCCTGCCCCATTCATGAATGCTTACTAGATTTTGCCCATCTCTGATATAAACCTTTCCTGAGGTTGTCTTCCTGAGCACACTTATTTTGAAATGAACTCAGTGGGGAACTTCTTCTCTGGAAACATGCTTAAGATTGCACTGCATTTCCTCCTCCTCTTCTTTTTTTTTTTTTAAAGATATCTGTTCTCTTCTCCATCCACTTATTTTTTTGCCAGTGAGTCAGTAAATATGGGGCCCTGCTAAGAAATCACACAGATTTTTATCTTTCTTCTGGTCAATGAAGTCAAAATAAGTTGCAATGATTGTTTCAGGGGCTTCTGGGAACAAAGAAGATTCTCTAAGCCTTTCCTTATGAAAACTCTGGATTTCAACTTAGACCTTTCAAGCTGAGATGAACTAATAACATAAGAGCATTGTCTTTAGATCCACAGCCAATTATGCTAGGGAACAAACACATCTTTGACATCATAAGAAAAAGGCCTCACTGTTTATCTCTTTAATAACCATTTTCAAGGGAAATTAATGTTACTTTGTCCTTTGTGCTCAACAATAATTGGATTGTGCCTTTCAATTATAGCTGGACAAATGCCAAGATATTGAAATACTTCTAAATATTAGATTTTCTGGTCCAAAAATTAGATTCTATTGGCATTGTCTATCCAAGATTTCTTCATTTAAAGCTTTATTACACATTAAGATGCTCTCCACATAAGAATTCAACTTAAATTATTTTTAAAAGGGTCACTTTTAAAGAGATACAGACTTCCTTCCGTACCTTGCACACTAGAAAAAACTAATCAAAATGATGTTAGTAGCTAATTTGCCTTACCTGGGATGATTTTCTGCTATTTGTTTAAATTCAGTGTCCCAGTTTGGTCGTCCATAGAAGGTCTTCTGTCTCAAGCCAGTAATTACATCCACCTTTTCATCATGATGTAGGGCAATGTGAGCAGCCTAGATTGTAGTGAACCAAAGGTCATTACTTCAGAATCATCATGTTGAGGCATCCCATTAGAATCAACAAGGAGAGGCTATAATGCTTTGAGATGTAAATTAGAAGATTAAATATGTTTAGTTTAGCCCTTTAAATCCACAGTTTTAATGTTTGAACTATATTTAATGTTCTCATTTTTATTGTTACACAGTTTTACTGTTTAAAATTATTATGCATACCTTATCTTACTAGACAAGGCAGTATATACATCTTTAAAATATGCAGATACATAAATATAGATACCAGAAGCACACAAATGGTTGTATCCAAATCAACTTGCCTTCCACAGGGCTGGCAAAAGCAGGCTTTCCCATGACTCCTCTCTCTGGCAGCTTCCTTGGCCTCTGAAAAGTCTCCTTTAAAGGACTGGAAGGCCTTGTGAAATGGTATGGGCAGTGACATGAAGTGGGGAGCAGGCGATCCTGAAAGCAGGGTCACCTCCATCTGACTGTCAAGGACTTCCAGGGAGGAGAGGGCAGGGAAGTCAGCTTCTGACAGTCCGATTTCATACATTTTGATATGAAGTTATCCTAATGAATCATCTACATAGCCTTAGGCCTCTACATTTGTTAAGATATGGGAGACACAGTTGTCACAATTTTGCACATCCTGGGAATGACATAGTTTATGTAAGCAGTATCCCATAGAGATCCCACTCAGGCCAGAATAAAACATAGTGAATCAGAGAATCAGAATAGTAGAGTGGGGCCATGAAGGCCATTGAGTTCAACCCGCTGATGTTGCAGGACACCACATTACAGCATCCCACTCAGATGGCTGCCCAGTTTCTTTTTGAATGTCTCCAGTGTGGGAGAGCCCACCACCTCTCTAGGCAGCTGGTTCCACTGTTGTATTGCTCTGACAGTGAGGAAGCTTTTCCTGATGTGCAGCCTGAATCTGGGTTGTCACAATTTGACTAGATTATTCCGTGTCCTGCACTCTGGTATCAGCAAGAAGAGATCTTGACCTTCCTCTTTGTGACAGCCTTTGAGGTACTTTCAGAGGGATATCATGTCCCCCCTCAGTCTTCTCTTCTCAGGGCTGAACACACCCAGTTCTCCCAGTCTCTCCTTATAGGGCAGTGTTTCCAAACCCTGGGTCATATTTGTTGCCCTCCGCTGGACCCTTTCTAATTTACCTGCATCTTTCTTAAATCTTTGTGCCCAGCACTGGACATAGTATTCCAGGAGAGGTCTGACTAGTGAGGAGCTAGCATGGCAACTCCCCACGTGATCAAGGAGAACCATATGGACAGCCCACCGCACAGGTCAGCCCTCCCTAGCCTGATTCCTTCCATATGTGGCCAGTGGCTCTGAGTGATGGGAGATGTAGTCCAACACATTTTTTCAGATTGAGGAAAACAAGGGTACAATATAAAATTTAATCTACAGCACCCACTCGGAGTCAGCTGTAAAAGGTGGAGGACACTGCCCAATATCCCTTCTCAAATATCGGTTGCGCCTTCCTTTCTCTGTCTTTCCCCGCAGTGTTGGCCCGTTCACTTTTCCTGTCTCCAACTGTACATCCACACCTTAATCTTTCATTGCATTCCTGTAATGTGTATTTATTAATATTGCAAGAAGCCCAGCATGGCCATATAGATAGACTAGAACACATGAAAATACTAAGTCTAAAATTACAAATACACAGTGAAATACAATAAAAGTATCACCAGGACACCAGAGAATGGATCACTTGTATGTCTGTGCTAAAAGCTCAAGGCTCTGCCCTGTGTGGCAGCCCACATTCCTCAAGGGCATCCCAAATAAAACCTTCCCGGCTGATCTAAATCTTATGCATGCACATGTGTTTCTTCAGCAGCCCAAGCAGAAGCGGAAGCAGAAGCTGGTGCCCTCCCTGATCGTTAGCCAAATAAAGAACAGGTTCCATTGGTGTTCAGGTTACTCTGGAGGCAGCTCCCAATGTCTCCCTGTTACCTGCAATGGGAGTGGCCAACTTTTTCTGCTCTTGTCAGTCAGTCCCCCTAGCTAGTGCACAGGGCTTGCTGCAGCAGTGACCAAGATAGCACAGTAATACAGAAAGTGATTGCAATGGGCTGGGGCTACTGGCAATAAACTGAAGCAAGGCGAAGGCAGCAAAGGAGATGAGCTGAAGCAAAAAACGCCAGGGGAGCGGGTTCAGGTCTGGGTGCTCGTGCAGCTACTGAGGACCTTGGTGCCAAGGGATTCAGCAGCCATCCACTTGGAATGGATACTTTCCAAAGACAAATGTAACAACATTTCACTTTAAGGAAGCGATGCTTTATGCGATTAAGCATTCATTTGATTACTGTTCCTTAGACTGCAGTCCTGGAAAAGTAAGATTCAGTAACTGAGCCCCATAAGATTTCATTTGTACCTGACTTTCATCCCAGCTGGTAAGAAATATGTGATAGCTTAGAAAATGGGCTTTCCCTTTCTTAGCCATTTGCGCTTCCAGCAAGCACAGGAGATCAGCAAACCACTCAAAGGCAGATGGATCTCGGCAAATCCAATAGAAATAAACCTGTCAAGGGAAACTAAAACAATTCAACAAAGTGCAAGCTTTCGTCGGGCGTCCTATATGGCTCTTAAATTATTTATTTGAAGATAAGTGACTAATCTTATAGCCAGCCACTGTGCTCAGGTGTAAATTTATACTTGATTTTATATCCAGCATTGACAACATAGAGTTTGCTTGTTTTTTTAAAAAAAATAGTTCTGTACTCATTCATATATGATTTCAACTGATTTTTAAAAAAGAAATCACCATGACTACTCCTGAGAAGCTAAGAAAGCTTTTGGCCATAGAAATGAAATAAATAAATGAATAATATAAGATGCAGACACTCCACCCTGCTTGATCCCAACAGCTTCCAATGCAGTGACCAAGAGAGACCTGGCTGAAATATCCAGTAAGCCACAACACTCTGTGTGGGCTGGGCATTTGATGCAATACCTAGCAAATAAACCCAGGCTGAAATAGCCCTTAGCAGGGGAGGGCTAGGTACCTACAGGATCTGAGACTCTGGGCCACTGGGGGAGCAGGGCAGCGCAAGCACAACTTTGCATATGTTAAATTATATGTGCAAAAAGTGTGTATGCCCTTAAAAGAGTCTGTCTCCTAAGGACATCGTCATTTGTAAAAATGCATTTACGGGCAAGGGAGGGGAGAGATTTCCAAAAGGAAAAATAAAAAATAGGCAGAAAGATTCAATTGTTGAGGAGCACATGTGGACAAAAAGCCAGGGATCATCAGGGCCACTGTACCTTTATTCCAACAGGTAGACAGAAAATTGGTGGGGCAGGTGACCTCCCAGACATGTGGGGTTCTAAAGAAAAGATCTGGGGTTCCCACTCCAGTGGGCCCCCTTTAACACAACTTATGGATCTACCTTTTCTAGTTTCAGTTCTGCATTTCGATGGCAGCATTTATACCAAATAGATTTCAGAATGGATGCAAAAGGAGTGACTCCTATTCCTGCTGCGATGCACACACTAATTTGATACCAAAAGACATCTGTGACTGCAGCTCCAAAGGGTCCATCCACTGCTAGTCTGAAATGACATTCAATCTGATGTTATAAACCCATAATTGTCTGTGTTCTATTTTTAATAAATAATAATTTTGATAAATAATAAAGTTTTGTGAGTTTCTTTTTCTGGTATTCATGAAATCATTGTTTTAATATCTGGATTTTTTGTGGACTATCAATTTTTAAAGTAATAAGTTAAAATATAACACCTAGTGGGTCATTTTTTTGTTCTAAAAATTGATGATTCCATTGCCTTCCTTACAAAGGGGCACAGCTGAGCAGAGATTTAATATCAACACACACACTCAAAATAACATTTACAGTTTATTCAGACCAGCACAAGAGAGCAGGAAGGCCATATGAATAAGGGACCATTTAAGCATGCAATCACAATTTTAAAGATTTGGAAAATCTGATTAGTCACTTAATTGCATGGTCAATTTTAATGGGAGCATTTGCATATTTAATTATGATTTAGTAAAAAAAAGGCATCCTTTAAATAAAGTCTTTTCCTCTATCATGTGCAAAAATCAAAGTACAGAGAAACTGATTTAATTTGGGCATGTTCTTAATCGGTCTGAAAACTTCTTGCTATGTGGGGGAGGACAGAAAGATAGAATAGAATGGAATTGGAAACATTAGCATCTAATTTAATAAATATATTAATATGCCTGAGGTAAAAGGAGATTTGGAGATAAAACAAATTAGATCCAACCAAGGAAGGAATATTCATATAGAGAAGGAGGCTTCTGTTCTCACAAAGGATATGAATATAGACACACAATGCCATAAACATTACAATTGGACTGACTAGATTATTCCTTACTTATGAGAACAAGGATCCATCCACCTCTTCATCTGGAGCTTTACCTCCATCTAGCCGGGGACAGGCAAACCCAGTGGCCTCCAGACAACCCCTCACTCTTGGTCATGATGACTGGGGCTGATGAGAGCTGTGGATCATGGGTGCTGTCTACCACCTGCAGCCAGGACCAGCAAAAAACATTTTGCTGCCAGCAGTGAAGGATAAGATGTTGCCTTTGCTCCCATAAAAGCCGGCTGGATTTCAGCACTGCTGATGGGACAGAAATCTTCCTCTGCAACTGCAGACAGTTGGCTAGCGGGGAGGGTGCAGGGTAAGCCACGTGGCCCCTGTTGCTTGGTCCTCCACTCCCTGTCTTCTAAGTATCTGTGCCCGAAGTGGCCGCCTCACTGTAATGGTGGGGATGGCCCTGCAAGTGACTCGTGCGCAGTTCAGGTAGGATATTTCTCTAGGGCAATCCCAAATTTGTGGGATTACATGTGATTTACCAATACAAAGTAACAGGATTTAAACTGCAGGATTTGGATTGAATACAGTTTAATGATATTTTGGAGAAATCCAGAAAAGAAGGGATGGCTAATTGTCCAAAGGAAGATGCCTCATACCAACTCAGCCTATTTGCCCACCTCAACCAGCAGGGGCTACTCTGGCTAGCTGTGGCTTTGCTGGGTTCAGGCAGGGTTTCTTTGTACCACCTGAGACTTGTAACAGGAGAAGCTGCAGCCTGGACCAGGGTCCTCTGCATGTCAAGCACATTTTCTACCACTGGTCTCCACCCCTGGCCTGCACTAAAGATATGCTCATTTCTGTGAAGTTGGAGATATAGGAATAGCTGTCAGGGATTTCGTGTTGGCTAGCAAATTGAGTGTCTTGGACATCATGGAGAGATGCGTAAAAACTGGGATGCAATCAATGCAAGGACAGCATCCTGCACCCAGTGTTCTGTTAACATGTGGGCACTGTTTTATAGCAATTGGGTAGCAGGGAACCAACAGAGCTCTCAGTGTTACATTGTCTGCTGCACTGAGATGTGGCGCTGACCTGTCCTGTTTCCACTGTTGAAATAAGATTTGACTGCCAATTCAGTTGACTTCTGCACATTGAAATGAGAGGGGACCATTTTGATAACCCCTGACTCAGGCATCAACATGTTGTAATATTGATTACCTGACTCAAGTAGTCTCCATAGCCATGCCCTCAAGGAAATTAAATTTAAAAGCATACTCCATATCAGCAAACCACTTCTAGCACTTTTCTTCTCCACCAGGAGCAGCTGTGAAGTCAATGAGTCCTGATTGCCCATTTAAGACCGAGCTGCCCAAGGGCACTTAGCATTATACCAGGGATAGCTCAGAGTAAAAACATTGTTGCTGGGACAATGCACTTCCCCAGGTAAGCTCAGAGGGAACAGGAAAGCCTGAGGGGGGTGGCAGATGACATCAATAGTCCTGCTAATCAAAAAGTGAGACCTGGCCCCACTAGAACACTGGTGGCAGCTGTAAACAGATGTTTAACTCCTTCTTTCAGCCCTAGGACTTCGGCACGCTTTGTTTTGGCTGGATCATATCCACGTCAAATTATATTTAAAATCTTTTCTAAATAATATAATCTAAGTCATCTTTCTGAAGGAAAACATTAAGATAAGATATGCCTTTTCCTGCCAGTAAGACTGTGTATTTTACTACATCCATAATTATAATTTATATCCTCTTTTGATATGCAAAAAAGCATCACAAATCTTGAATTAATCAAAAATAAAATGACAAGTTTGAAACACTGCAATTAGTTATCAAACCTCGGCAGCTTCCAGGGCTCCTTAAAGGCTTTTCCCTCCGATCCAAAGGCACTGAAAAGGGCTTCTGTCCAGTCCCCAACAGACCTTATGTGGACACTGAAAAAGTCATCTTCAGGGGCGGACGTGAGAGTGAACGGGTGCCACTCCAGCTGCGACACAGCAGGGCACTGAAGAAAAATATACTGACCAGGCTTCATCTTAAAGCCACGTTTCTTCAGATGAAACTCCAGCACTCCAGAGGAATGAGACACCACCTAAGCCAGAGCAGAAAGACAGCCAGCCTACTATACTGGTTCTGTTTGACGGGGAATGCAAAACCAGGTGCCTGTGCAGGCTAGGGGAGCTTCCAATGAGACTGCCCCTGGCCCCTCAAAGGCATTCTTCAGTTCTCTCTATTCCTCCTTTATGGAGGGAAGAAGCAATAGGAAAACATGAGAAGGTTGCAAATGAAAGTCAAAGTCATCCAGATCCCATACAAAATTCTGTGAATATGCCAGGGAAACTGCATATTAAAACACATGCAAGCATCCTACAACCCATTTTGTGGCTTTCTCTTAGATAAGGATTTTTTTTTTTTTTTGGCTAAGAGGGTTGTATGGTTTAGCTTGGAATTATAAATTTTACCTTAAGCTATTCATTTTTATGGCATTGCTAGTTCTCATTTGTTATTATTATAGTGTTTTATAGTTTAAAAATGTTCTACTTACTTCTGTATTATAAATGCATGTGTTGGAAGCCTCCTTGTAAAAGTTTAGCCCTAAAGAGAGGCTGATAAATTCCCTAAATATATACAAAAGCAAGTACAGTGATGTTCTTCTAAAGGAACAGTCCAAGTTTAATGCCAGTTCAGCTGCAGGGATCTCCCGTTCTCCTTTTCCCTCCTTGCTTCTCCCAATATTGAGACTCCCAGCTCCTAATAAGCAGTGCTTCTTGGCTACAGTCCTATGCTTAACAATAAGCCAATGAGGCTTGCCGCCATACAGAAATCCATCGTGCTATGTGGGCTTGTTGAGGTTGACCACCTACCAGTCATGGTGGCAATATCCTACCTCCCATGTTGGAGGCAGGGTGCCGTTGTAGACCAGCTCCTGCAGAGCATGAGTTGCAGGGTGCTGTTATGCTCAGGTCCTACTGTTGTCTTCCCACTGAAGCATCTGGTTCACCATGGTGGGAACAGAATCTGGACTACATGGGCCTTTGGTCTGATCCACCAGGGATCTTCTTACATTCTTAAAGTTCATAAGAGATTATTCATAGAACTCATCAGCATGACTTGCTTTGCACTTATGCCATATCTACAATTTGGGAACCAATTAACCACATGTAACAGAAATCTGGTACTTATGTAATGACAACCAAAGTATGGGATCCTGATGAAGCAAGGGTTGCTGTTGAATAGTGCTAATACACAAACTCTGCACTATAGTTTAACTATGGACTGTTTGGTCATGCACAACTCAGGAGAAAGATCCCATGGTTTGTTGCTGGCTGTTAACGCTGGATTGTTCGTGGTTAATAACCCATAGTAAAACCATAGTACAGGGTTTGCACATAATGCCACCCATGATTTAACAGCTATACAAAACCCATACATATCCCAGACTCTGGGCTGTTGTTATGAGCAAGCCAGGCCATAGTGTGATCAAAAGGGTCCAAATTCAGGAATGGCCAATGAAACTGCTGGTGTCTGCTCCATGGTGTTAATTGGAAGAGAAGAAGTCTTGTGCTTACCCTTGGGCTTTGGGAACCAATCATGGTGGAAGTTGCCACAGCCAGCAGTTTGCTAGGTCAGAGTCACTAAATAGATTATCACCAGCAGCTGACATCAATGGTCTGTGCTCAAGATGGGGCAGCTATCTACTCAGCAACCATGCATTTGCATCCTCCATCTCCACTCCCTTCACCCAGGGGTAAAAGATAAGAGTGAGATACCCCTCCCTACTCTACAGTGATGGAGTGGCTGCCAGTGAGTGCACAAAGCAAATTGTTTACCAGCTGCCACTGCTCAAGTCCTACCTTGGCCATCATTTAACTGATATCTGCTCCTCAGTGGCTAAAATGATGCTACTGATTTGTAGACCTGATTATATGAAGAGAAGGATTCATCCGGAAGTCACATTATGTGGTCTTGTGAACTTCTTTGCCCCCTTTTCTCAGGTAATTCCACCAACAGGAGCAAGGGAGAAAAAGGACTAGCCACTCCAAAATGATCCTTGTTCTATCAACTGCTGCTCCAGCCAATTAGGGAAACCATTCAGTTGCTCAGCCCAGAATCATGTGATCCACTTGACATTAAACATGTAAATATCTAGCTACAATTTGCTCCGGGGTTCATAACTCCTTACTATTCGCAAAGCCCTGTGTATTTTTCAGGTGATGATGTTGCATCCACTGTAGTTCAATTTTGGACTTGGTGTAGCAGGAAAACTGATTTTATTTTTTCCAGGAAATCAAGGCGTTATTGAAATACTCATGAATATGGTAATAAACCTATGAACAGAATATGAATTACATTAACAAAAAAGGTCATAGAATTTTCTACCGATGAAGCCAAATAACCTTGGATTTTGATTTAATACAGATAACAATGTGTACACTTACCTTTAGAATGACAACCTCTTGTTGAAACCTCCAGAACCTTATTATTCTTTCACCAATGTACAATATCCCAGGGCCTAAGACCCACTTCCAAGCCTGTTAGTGAATTATATAAAGAGATTTTTTAAAAGTAAACACATACAACTTTTATTTTTCAGCATGTGCAGTGTTATTCCAGTCTATCTCCTCCTCATATTTACTAGGTGGATAGTAAAGGTTTCTCTGCATGAGTGGTTTACCCCACTGCTTTGCTGAGATGTCTTCTTCCTTTTTCATCACCAGAGGAAAAATGCGCCCCCTACGCAAGATTTCTTCCCTAGGCTTTGTAGTCCTGTTTTTCTGTACGTTCTATTAACCAACCACAACATGGTGCTGCAATATAGCTCTGTTCTGGTGGATTTGTGACTTCTCACAAGTCTTTTGTTTCAGTTCATCGCAATTTAAAATTTAATGCCAGATTTTCCAAATATCTGTCAACAAAGATGTAAAACCTGTGGGGGGATCTAGTGAACATCAGCTTTGCAAAATGGCCCTGCAACAGTTGTGAACAGAGCACAATAAATGCTTCATGCAGAGAAGCCCTAAGATGAGATACTAAGAAAGATGGCTTAGTTAAGATTGGGAATGTTGTTAAACTCCCTTCCTCTTGGATGGAAACAGAAGTTTCCATTCCTTTCTGTATTTATCCTGCATCCTGCCCTTTTTCTTTTTGTAAGGAACGCCATTTTATCCTCCATATTTTACTGTACCACATACAATCCTTTAGCTTTCATATAGAACACCTTGCACTTTGTAAACCTCTCTTGTACAGGCAGCGTGGTGTAGTGGTTACATTGTGGGATTGGGATTCACCAGAGATGGGCTCTAATTCCCACTTGGCCATGAGTGACTTTGAACTGGTAACTGATTCTCAACTTAACCTACCTCACAAGGCTGCTTGTAAGGATAAAAATGGGGTGTAAAGAATATTATGTAAGCTGCCTTGGGTCCTTGAAAGAGGAAAAAAGGAGGCATAAAATGCAATGTAATAATACTAAAAAATAATAAAATGGAGAGGCAAAAGAGAGCTATATCAGTCACCTTAGGTCCCTTGCAGAAAAAAGGTGGTTTGCAAATATAATAAATAAATAAACAAGTAAGGGGCTAAGAGAGATGCTTTTCTGTTGATAAAGGGACGCTGAAAAAAATTCCAATTGTCTTAGACAATTAAAACATTTGTTTCTCCGTAACTGCTGAAAAACAATGACTGTATATGTCTCTTAAGATTTGTAGGCAACCCAAATCAGATATCTGAATAGGCTAACATACTGATTCAACCTAATCCAGCCATGTAATTGCTCAGGTCCACTAGTAGTTTCCTGCTACATGAAAAGTTGGATGGCTCAGTTGACCCTTGTACTTCTGTTCCTAGACCTTCACAGCATTCGTTACTCTGTTCAGCTCTGTTCCTTAACTACAAAGTTGATGGAGAGATCTTTGTACAAGTTGAGGAAAGAGAATGCCTGGATGCAAATGTCTTTTTTCCCTCCCCATGGCAGAATGAACAAATATAGGAGTCACATAACTCCACACACTTTTGGTTCTGGTCACTCCTGTTGCTGGCATACTGGTTTCTACTGGGATGAGGCAGACCTCGTTAGCATCAGGAAGAAGTCCCTGGATACCAGCTTTCTAGTCCCCAGGGCTACATGCTCTGTTGAATCTACATTCTTCACCATAGCAGGGTTGTTGATTGGGCTTTAACTCATCCAAACAGAAATATCTCACGTCAAAAACTTCACTTTGGCTTAAGAAATGGCAGTGGTGCTTGTTGTAAAATGTCACTGCTGAAAAGTAAATCATTTGGCCTAATTACTTGCTAAAGAAAAAGGAAAGGCAAGCAAAAGAAAGCAAGCAAAAGCAAAAGAAAGAAGAGACTTTCTTCTTTCAGTTTGTATTGCACAGACATAAAAACCCTGGTGAGGAATTTTGAAAGTATTTGATATCCTCCCTGAGAATTCAGCCAAGGCTTTCAAATACACCCCTTTGATCCTTTAGCAAGCAGCTGTACAAAGCATTATCTTTAAAGTGTCTTTTTGTTGGAAATGAATAGTCTTTGACGGCCCTGTCCTGTGACCAAAGCTTCATTCCTTATATTCAGGACACTTGCCTTTTGCCAAGGTGACAAATTCATTAATGTTGACATTCAGTGGGTTTGGGTAGGCTGATGTCTGGGATTGTGATGTAGGCTTACTGTCCTAATGCAGAAGAGCCTTATTAAGAGGGAAAGCTGGTCAAATCCACAAAGCGTGGATCTTTCATAGTGTACACACTTTCATATAGTGCACATATATTGTTCAGACACTCAGTGGAAAAACAACAATGCAAAACAATGAAATCTGTGAAGAGATGCTTTATGTCATTCTAGGTTTAACTTACTGGATTTTCATTTCATTCCAGTAGCATTAAGCAATTGTAAACCAAGGTGACTCTCCTTTGGACTTAACGGTTTTACTGTCCTCAGAACAGGTATTTCTACTTTGAACAGCATTTAAGTAGCAGCCCTGTTTTATTTGCACTGTCTCATGAGCCCACCAGTGTTGACCATTTAGGCCAATCAGCTCTGAGAAATTAATATAATTATCCAGGAGATAAGCCCACACAGACCACTTGGGGAGGGGTCAGTTGAAACGTAACCAACAGGGTGATTTTTATCACAGATACCCATCTTGGAAATATAGATGTGGCTCACACATGAGGAGGAGCCCCTGTGGGTGAATTTCTCAGTGGGACATCCTGTTGGGGTGGGCACTGCCATTTGAATATTCAGGGTGTGGCAGGATATGAACCTAGCAAGGGAAGGTTGTTGGGAGGGTTGACAAGCCATGTTTGCTTGCAGATTGGCCATAGGAAGTTGCTTTATACTGAGAAAGCCCATTGGTCCATCTAGCTCAGTACAGTCAACACTGACTGCCAGTGGCTCTCCTGTGCGTTCATCTTGGAAAGTGCTGTTTCCCTTTTGCTTAACCACGGTTGTACCTCAAACCACTTGGGATGTCTTAGGGTTGAGTCTAAAGTTGCACCTCTGCTCAGTTCCATACACAACTATTCCAGGCCACAGGCATTTAGATCATTAATTGCTGTGGGTGTAACTGAAGTCACCCTTACTTTACCCCTCCTTGTGTGGATGTCTTCCTGATTTAATCGTAAGATGATGCTTATGATTTATTTCAATTTATACTGGCCAAAAGCTGAAGCTTCCTAGGTGGTTTACAACAGTTCATAAAACCGACGAGCTCAATGTCATGTCCCCAGTACTCAGTTATTTTAGATGTGGATCTGGTCACCCACAGTGCCTCTGTGGATGGAGCTGCCCCTTGTAAGTTTTCTGGTCTACTTGACACTGTGCCCTCTTTCACTCAGTGCCCTCCCCTCTCTTTCCTACAGGTTGTATATACAGAAATGCCCTCAGCTACCTTTTAACTCAAAGACAACATAGCACCAGTCTCAAGACACTCAGTGGGGAACCTCCAGAAATGCCTTGGACTTAAGATCCTTCCAGAGACTTCAGGCAGCTCAGGAGGCTTCAGAAAAGAAGCTCAAATGGACAGAAACTGTGCTTCAGGAATAGTTTTGAGGAGAAAAGGGAAAGCAATGAAATAGGTGCCAAAAGTCACAGTGGATACCTCAGCAGGAGAGAGCAAGCAGTCAGGCAGAGGAGAAGGCAGAACTTCAGAAGAGAGACCAGAGGCCCAATGTATATATATTAAATGCATTTATAAGTTCCTTAACTATTTAAATTTAAATTTTCACCATTGTGGCAAAGGGTGACCAGCCACCAGTTAAAATTCTATTAATTTTTTTTCAGGAAATCCATCTTGGCTATGTACAAACTCTCTAGATAGAATAATATCTTCAGTACATTCCTCCGTGTGAGCAGAAAAGTGTTGACCAGCTGATGTGATGCCCAGGCATTTCAGTGCATTGTGCTGGAAGAAATCTGTTGTCTGTATTCATGGTATTGATTTTCGTAGGGAGACGTAGTAACTTAGTGAAGGCTGTGGAGATACACTCTTTGACTTCTTAATATGCTGACAGGGTTGTGACAAACTCTAGTTTTATGTGAACATTAATCTAGGTCAGCCATTACAAACCTTGCTAGATATTGACTAATTTTTGCCCTCAAAGGTTTTGGTTCTTTTAATTAATTAATTAATTAATTAATTTAGAGCATTTGTATGCCGTCCCATCACATAGCCTCGGGACGGCTTCCATAAATAAAATAAAACATAATACAGATAAAATCCAGATGCCTGCTGCCCTCTTTCCTATCTCTTATCTACAGCCTATAAATATTTGGTTTTAAATGTTAAAAATACATTGTTGTCACTCATGCATTTGACATATTGTACATAATGATTACTTAATTATCCCCTGTGGATCTGCAATTTTGTTTAAAATCCAAATGAGCTTTCCAATCTGTTAGACCTTTTACTTGAGTTTTTTCTTTTACTTTTTCTTTTTTAAAGCCCCTGCATTAAATATTGCTCTTTGCACCATGTGGTCAGTCAGTCAACCATATTGTAATCAATGAGTTATAGACACAACATGCCCTATAATGAAATTTTCCAACAGTTTGGAAGGCACTGTTGGCAAATTCATTCCCTGGTAACCTATCTTCTGAATTTCTGCAATGCATTATATATTTGGCTGTCTGGAAACTCTATTACCGTATTTAGAATAGGGTAATAGATGTCCTATTTTGGCTTATCCATTATAAAGTAATAGGATTATTAATGCAGACAGGAAAATATGGTCATATTACACAAGAGCTTTGTGCTCTGGTCTGGCTTCCAGCTCATTTCTGGACCCAGTTAAAACTGATATTAACTTTTAGAACCCTAAATAGGAATTTAAATTCTAAATAGAAGACCTTTTCTATATATGCCACTCAAATGAGAGCAGGCAGGTGGCTACTAAGGAAAGGGCATTTTCAGTGGTGGTATCCCAATTGCTGAATGAGTTCCCCAGAGAGGCGCTTTTACATCACTCCAGTGCCATATTCAGAACTTTTTTTTTTTGTTAGCATCCTGGGCTGCTTAGTCTTTTCCTTTAAAAAAAAAAAAGACATTGCTGTGTTTTAGGAAAGTTGTGGTATTTTGTGGTTTAAATTCTTGCTCTGGGAACTCTCCAGAGAGCTTTGACTATTGGGTGATATAGAAATATAATCAATCGGTTGGTCAGAATTCACAGATTGTTGGCATTTTCACACAGCTGCTACCTTAAGTCCATTTTGTATGAGCACTGTTATTTTCTCACAACTTTCCAAACAAATACTCAGGATACAAGGCTCATTCTTACCACAGGAGCCTTTCCAGAAAACTGTGGCAGAGGACACTGAGCTGATATTTCCCACTCCAAATAGTGATCTTTGCAGTAAGTGACATTATGCAGCAATAGACTCAGAGTAGTCTGACCACGGATGAGCTGCCTGTAACAGGAAAACAAAGAAAACAAATGTAGCACTCTCACTGAACAGCCTGTTTCATTTCATATTCACTTTGGTTTCCCCCAGAACCCTCTTTGATCCAGGGTGAGAAGGCTATCACTGACAGCTAATCCTAATTCCAGAAGCAAAGGAACTACACCTGTGTGTACAGGTTGCTGGGCAATCCCACCAGGTTGTCCTGCTTGTGGGTTTTCCAGGAGCAGCTCTTTGGCCCCTGTGTGCATGGAATGCGCTTTGGGCCTTGTGATCCCAATGCTTTTAAAACCTCATGAAAATTTGGCTCAGCTCAATATGAACATATTTTTCCTACAAGTAAAACAATGATGGCGGCCTGGGAAAAATCAATGAGCCAGTTCCAGGGATGATGATGGTGCTGGTGGTGCTGGTGGTGGCAATCAACTTAGCTCACTCTGAGGCTGTTTCTGTGCCTCCCTTGGAAACCATCCACCCTCCATCTTGAGTCACAATATGGGTGAAGGCAATAGAATTAAGCTGCATGACATGAATACACACCCACCCTGTGCCATGGACAACCAAACCAATGAAGAAAACAACGAAGAGATGGTGGGTGTACCAGAACACCTCATAAAAGGATCTTGTGATGATTTCTGTAGATGAAGTCATGATCAGGATGAAGGACACCGTGATCAGGAGACCAGTTGTTCCAGCAATGGTTGTTAGTATTTCAGTCACTGTGTTCTGAAAAAGAAGAGGAAAGCAGTTTATGGGCACCAAAATCAGTGCCACAGCTTCAGTGCAAGAATAACAGTATGAACACTTTTTTAAGAACAACACCAGGCATAGACATTGATTTCTATTTTCCACCTAAGTCTGTACTGGGAAGTTCTGTAATGAATATTAGCTGCAATTAATTTGCTTCTGTATTGGTTGGAATCAAATCATCTCAGCAATACCTATTTTGCTGCTATGGGGTATCTCTGAAGGAAGGAAACTATTAGAGCAAGATTTAATGAGGCAGAAAGGTAACAATGGAAATAGCATGGAATATCCTAGCTGTGAAACAGTAGTGTGGACTAATGAGCAACATGCTACTTTCTTCTTTTATCAGCATAAACATGTGCTCTTCTTTGAGTTATACTCTGAGCTATGCTTTTGAGCATGTGTAGAGCTTCCAGTAAGTTGTTTTGGCTGTGCTGAAAACAAATAACATTCAACTCTTTAAGAAGAAATCTGTCTTCATAGTACTAAAAACAGAATTATGCAGCTGAGTAATTTAAATGATGATTTACAGTGCAAATCCTATTGCTGTCTGTTCAAAAGTAAGTTGCATTGTATTCAGGGGGCTTTTGGACTGCAAGCAAATAAAAGACTGAAACCTAAAGAGCCCCCCAGAAAGCACACAGTAACTGCTCTTGAAGGCAGGAGTGAGAGAGCTTACTTCACGTTCAGATACTGAGCTAAAGACAAACCTACACAAATAATACCCCATTTATGGGATTTACTGACCTGACACGGTAAGAATTCCAAGGTGATCATTCTTCTTTGCCACTTTTTAGTATGACTTATCTGCAGGTCAGCTAGATATTGCTGCTGCTAATTGAATTTCAACAGATGTTCATTATTTCTTTTGAAGCATGACAAAATGATCACACTTGGGATGAGAGCTCTTGTGAAAAATATGTGCTGTAGGTCCTGTCACAATGTTCTAGAATTTATCTGCTTTTCTTTGCATGTGGCAATAGATACATGCTATCACTTAGTTTATAATATTTTGCACGTAGACCTAAGATGTGTGGTTTGAAGATGGATGTAAAGTAGTTGGGCTGGGACTGGCCTGTCTCTGTGGCCTTCAATCACATTCTGAAACATGGGTTCTGTTCCAACAGGCACTCCGTATTCTGAACCTGAGACTCTTGTATAGGATGGGATAGAAATGCCTTGAATGAATGAATGAATGAATCTGTTCCGCAACTGAAGTCTGAAGGCTCTGGCCATATGGGCCATTTGAGGAACTGACCTGGGTACTACCGTAAAATAGCTGTGGTGGCAGACAAGTAACCTGGTAATAGACTGAATACAAGGCAGAAGTATGGTCTCAGCTCTTCTTAGTGTGGCATATTAAACTGTTCCTTCGGCACCAGCATAAACCTATTTCATGGCAATCTTAGTGGCCAGCAAGAAAATTCATTTTTTTAAATGCATGGGAAGGTTAGGGCACCTTGGTGGATACCAAGAAAGGTGTCCATGGGCACAGTAGTGCCTGTGGGTACCACATTTGTACTCCTGCCTTAGGATGCCTTGATCTTACCTTTCTAGCATCCATCTTCCTCTGCAGGCAATCCTCATGGGTAAATCCCACTGAATTCAACTGGTCTTCCTGCACAGGATCTCAGCTTAACCAACTGGTGGAAGCCCATGGGCCACCGGATGCTGCTGAACTATAAGTGCCATCATCTCAGCCCACTGGCTATGCTTGCTTGTGATTCTGGGAACTGGAGTCCAACAACATCTGGAAGCCCACCAGTTTCCTGATGCTGGCTTAACTCATTCCCAAGTCCTCTCCTGGACACTTTTCTTGTTCTGAAGGGAAATGTTTTCTCCAGGATCTGGAAGGTCCACACAGAGTATGCAGCTGCCTTCCTTCCCCCTGATTCTCTGTCTTGCGATTGTTACAGAACCTAACATGAAAATACAGACCCAGACAATGTTGCAGAGAGCTGTGCAGCTACTTGCCTCAGTATGTGTGAGAGCACAAGAACTCAGGCATACCACCAAACCTTTTGTGTTTGTTTCAAAGGTACTTGGTTAACACATGAGACTGGCTATATTTGTGCATGGGAGGGGCAGGAATTGGAACACATTATTGGATCATGTAGCTTTCTCACTGGATTGCAGAAAGAAGTCTGACAATGAGGAAAAGGTCCAGTGAGAAACAAAGAGGAGGAGGAGGAAGAAGAAAACCCAACTCACTGTGTCTTCATTCCTGATTGGATTCAAGTAGGTTTCATTAGGGCTTTTGCCAATACTGGACAATTTTTTGCTTAGCTCTCCTGCTTGTTCAGACTGGCTAAGGTGATAGCGTTCAATGTTGACAAGGTGTGCAATGATATGAATGGCTATAAAAAAGAAAATGCTGTATAAAGTGAAGACTGTCACATACCAGCATCCCTTTCACTGATGCAAGATTTCTAAAATGAATGACTTCCTAATAGATTTACATGCCCAAACAATGCCAGGCAGTTTCAGTTTGATTAGCTGCTTCTTTTTTGCAAAAATGGGCAGGTAATGATTGAGAAGATAGCAAATATTGCTTGTTTCACCCTTTGCATTCAGTGTGTTCGTGTGTTTAAAACCTGTGCTCTATTTTTGGGTAAATAAATGCTAGTAATTATACAATTTTTATCTAGGTGGTAAAACTTTAATTACGTCTTCTGCACTCTGAGGTAAACAAACACACACATACCCAAATATGCATAAATATATGTCATTTTATATTGCGGTACAAACCATGTAAGATCAATATATTATCATGCCTTAATCTGCATGTGTTTACATTGTATTCTGATTCTGTGTAAGTTCAATAGTGATCTTTAACATTCAAACCCCGGCTTGGGAAGATGTAACTTGTAGTAAAGCACAACTAGGCACTAGATGGAGGAAGGCTTACTTTGGGAATGGTTCAGTCTTTTGGAGTCTCTTTCCCTCCTCTTCTGCAGTGAACCCTGTGACATGTCCAGCTGCAAGTTCATGTGGGAGACATGGCATCCTTCCCATCAGTTCAAAAACCAGGAGCCACTTCCCTCTTCACTTGGATGGAATGGAGAAGGATGTGCACATAGCCTTATGATGAGCATGAGGTGATGGGGGCTCTGCATGAACTGAATCCTACCTAGCAGGTAGTTCAAAATGGTTAAAATTCTTTAAAAAAAAAGAGTGGAGTTCAGTACGTCTTACTGACAAGAATCAGACTACCCCCCTTTCTTCTGCCAGCAGTACTGCATGCAGTATCCCTTACATTCAGAATGTGGCCATCACTCATTTGGAACCACTGAGCTAAAGAATGTTAAAGAAACTTCGGGACTGCATGTGAGTAGTTTATACGCGTTTGTTGCTTTGTTGTCTAGCCTACAATTTCTTCCCTAGCTCAGTCTTGATTCTTTATTGGCAGATTACTAAATGAACAGCAATTGTGTGTCATTGCCCATCTGCTCAATAAGCAAAGAAAGACCTAAACAGGAGTTGGTTCTTTGCGTATTCAGTTAATCTGTTTGTTCTCAGTGAAGCAGGTGCAGCTCTTACTGAACCCGTGTGTGCACTTATTCAAGAATAAAGAGCACTTCTCTTTCTGCATGCCTGTCTGGGATAATAGTTGCACTGCGGTTAGTCAGCTTCTAATTAACCACTTGTCTTCTCATTTTTACAATCAATCATTTGTCAAACTGTATGGCATTACATGATGTTACATTAGTTTGTATTATATTTCAAGAATTGACTTATAACTGACAATTTGATTTTTGTCTAAGGCATTGTTCCAGATTCCTGGACCATCTGTGGGTCAAAGGGTAGCGGCAAGGTGTAGGTCCTTACTGGTGGTAGCACCCACTCTGCAGAATGCCTCAATTGAAACTTGCCAAGCCCTAAGACTTTACGGTTTTAGGTATTTGGCCAAAGCCAGGCTGCTTAGGAACACTTCCAGCTGAATCTTCTCTGTCTCTTTGTTAAAAAAAATGTTTGATTTCCTTTCTCTCTGTCTTCACTTGGGGTTTTGGGGTTATTGGATTGCATCCATTTGTGTGCAGGTGCCAGTTTAAGGGATGCACCTCATGTGAAGAACCTCTCCCTCTCTACACATCCCCCGTATAGGGAAAATACCTTCTATTATGGTTGTTTATTGCCATACGTAGGTTATTTTTGTAAATAATGGGAGGATGAACTGCCCATTGCTTATCCAAGTGCTGTGGTAAAGTACAAATGATAAAAATGCAATACAAAACAATTCAAAGGCCAATTGTAATCTTAAAACAGAATGCATCATGCCCTTTAAAATCATCAGCAGCGCACTGAGATACCAAACAGCTACAGGCCTGTGGCATTCTGTTTTAGAGCCTCTTAAAATTATTCAGTAGAGAGATATGCTTTATATATTTTCTGGCATATGAGGAAGAAATGCTTCTGTAAAAAGCAGTTTTCTGTTTCATCTTGGGGGTGATCACAGATGTAATCCTAGGTAGCTAATAATCCATTTTAAGGGCCCCAGAATAGTATGTCAGCCCAACCAATATCTCTGTTGTCTATTTTGCTTTTGATACTATTTTAATTTTATTGGTTTGCATAATTTTATTATTCTAGTTGATGTAATTATATATTTCATTTTTGAACATTTATATTAAGGTTTTATTTGTATGTGTTTTAAATGTTGCCAGTTGTCTTGAGTCCCAGTACTGGGAATTGTGGAATATACATAAATATCATAATAAATATAAAAATTGGGTGAAATGCATTTTGAAGACCTTGCTCCAGGCAACACCATGGCAGCACCAGCTGCTGTTTCTGAGCACTTTTCTTCAAGGGCAGCCCAACCCAGAATGCATTGCAGTTCTCTGATCTGGAGGTAACTAGGCAGGAACAAATATGCCAGGTTTCATCAGGTAAAGTCATCATAGGTGGGAAGAAGTGCCCCTCACTACAGTATCACCTGCATATCCAAGAGGTGCATGAGTCACGAGGTCAGTGAGCACCCTCATACTATGGATCCAATCTTGAAGGGAGAGTGTGACCCCATCCAGACCACACTGTACCCCTAAACCTGAATCAGATGGTCTGGCAACCAACAGAATTTTAAAGGATGCCCTTGATACAAATAAATCCCCCCACCCCCTGCAATGTCTGGCCAAACTAGGCAGTTCATTAATGCATCTTTGCATCTAAAAACCAGATCTGAAACAGTGTGAGTTCCTTCAGTCGGAAGGGTGGGGTGATAATTATTGAACTCACAAGAAAAGGAAATGGAGTTTTCTTCCCCTGCTGTCGTCCAGGGGAAGTCCCTGCTCTGTAGCCCTTTTTGCTCTGGGATGGCCTGCCTTCTTGGCATACTGGATTTAGGGTATGCTTAGTTTGGTATACGAGAAAAAAGAAACAAATCAGATAAATGCACTTATATTTCTAGGATGACTTGTTAATTAAAAGTGGGGGCCAAGTGTGCCTTCTTCAGGAATCCCTTCTTATGATGAAAGCAAACTGATAAATTGCTAGGCATGATAGATATTCAGCATTATCATACTGCATTATAACATGTTCTTCATTCCATGCTCTTTGAAGGGCTTTTTGTTCTCAAGGCCCAGGTGTTCAGGCATACTCTGTGAACTGACAGGGAGTGGAAGTGCTGGGGGGACAGGGGAGAGGAGCCAGAAGAACCTGGCCCTATCCTTGATCCCATGATGCACATCTGGAGAGATCTAGACTTGCCCATCTCCACAGGGGCACACCTAGAGGGATGGGGCCCTGGGTTACCAAGGTTCATGGAAATAGTCTCTCGCTTAGGTTCAACAAACTGCTCTGTGCATGCTCAGAGACTCTTCCTTTGTTGGCAAATAGCTTGCTGGATGTACATTGAAAATAAAATGATTTTGCCAAAGAACTGTCTGTTGTGTGGAAGAGCGAAGTGGGGCAGTGGGAGGAACTCAGTTCCTGACAGCCTGGGATACAAAGGGACTTCTGCATTGTTAAGGACTCTTTGAGACACTGGCAGTTCACTAAGAAGTAACTCCCACTGAATTCAGTGAGGCTGACTCCAGGATAAGCATGTATAGGATTGAAGCCTTAAAAGTGCCTCTGACTTGTAGCCTAACTGTAAAAACATGAGATACACAGACATTCTCTCTGTGTAGTTTATTTTATTTTATTTTATTTTATTTTATTTTATTTTATTTTATTTTATTTCTCACTTGCACACATCTGAGCTCCAGTTTCCTCAAGGACAGGAATAATATGAGCATAATCCCAAAGTACTTAACATTCTGATTTTCAGTTACTTGGGGGCAAATGACTTGAATAGGGCTATTTCCATTTATTTATTGCAATGCTGGTCTTTTGGACATGCATTTAGATTTAAATGTGCTTCAGGGTGCTGACTGAGGAATGCTGGAGTTGTAGGATTTTTTCTGTCTAAACATATAGGACTATACTGTAAGTGTCTCCAGATTATATCCACAGGGAATAAGTGGTTGTTTATTCAGATAAATGCACCATTATGGAGTGGATCAGACGGAATCTTATCCTGTTTTGCAGTTTCTGTCAGTCTTCCCCCACTTTTCCTGTTTTACTTTTCTTACCAACTATGAATCTTGGGATGGAACAGGCAACAATTCAAAGAAACAGCAGTGCTCAAATTAGCAATTGAGCATTTATCCCAAAGAAGAGTTCCCCTTGGCTTCGTTAGGGAATGCACTGTGTAGACTATCAAGCATTTTATAGTAAGCATGTGCATGTAATAGGCTATGTCTAGTTTAGAGGTTCAGCATCACACACATGGACACAGGTATACCTATGAACACCTCCTTTGGAGCTTCCCAGTCTCTGGGCTCCTCTGGGTTTTTTCTAAGCTGTAAAAGATTCATTTTAATTAAAAAGAAATTTTTAATTTAATTTAATTTAATTTAAATTTTTAAAAGAAAGAGGACATGCTACAAAATGAAGTGCCATGCTCCAGCACCATCTTTATTTCAAGGAATGGCTTTGGGACCCATGTGCCCACCAAGGCATTCTTAGAGAATAAAAGCCCCAGCACTTTAATTGGAATGTGCCCAACCACTCAGAAAACAGAGAAAAGTAGGCTGGGGAGGGAGGGAAGAGGACATGAATGGGCATCCTCTGGGGCAGCCATATTGTGAGAGTTCCCAAAATGCACTCTCAAAATTCCAGCTACACCTACTGACCCAAAAAGGTTGAGAACAACCCAGTATCTGTAAAACATAGGATGTGCTTTTAATATGAGAATATCTGAAGGAACACGGAATGAGATAAGAATTCATGACTAGCTCTTTGAACATGTACCAGTCCAAACTAGATTCTAAGGATATCTCGGGGGAGAAACACAGTAATTATGTGAGATTTCAGTCTCCCAGATATTACTTGGGAGACTCACTCAGCGGTGACAGCCAGGTCACGTCGCTTCCTAGAAGCTATAGAGGGAGGGTTTTTCACACAGAGTGTCCAAGAGGCGACGAGGGGGGGAAACATCCTTGACTTGGTCTTGACTTGAATAGGGAGGAGCTGATAGATGAAGTACAGATTAGGGGAGCTCTGGATGTGAGTGATCACTCCATCCTTTGCTTTGAGATCAGGGGACTGGGGACGTGCAGCAGGTCAAGCACTAGAAGCTGGGACTTCAAGAGGGCCAACTTTGGCCAACTGAAGGCCAGACTGGGGAAAGTCTCCTGGGATAGGTTACTGGAAGGTAAGCAAGTTGAGGAGGGGTGGATGGCACTCAAAAGGCAGATTTTGGAGGTGCAAGCCTTGACGATACCTCTAGTTAGTAAGGTGGGGAGGTGGAGGAGAGTGCTGCCATAGATGCGAAAGGAGGTGGTTAGAGGGATTAGATGAAAGAGGAACCTCCACAGGAAATGGGTACTGGGACAAATAGACAAAAGGGTATACCAGGAGGAGGAGGCCCATTGAAGAAGGATTCTTCACAAGGCTAAGGCTGATTATGAGCTGAGACTTGCCAAGAATATCAAGAGCAACAAAAAGGGCTTCTTTCAGCATGTAAATCGGAAGAGGAAGGGGAGACAAGTGGTGGGACCACTAAATAAGGAGGAAGGAGATCCAGTGACTGATATGAGGGAACAGGCACAGAGCTAAATGACTATTTTGCCTCTGTGTTCTCCCCAAAGCAGGACAGGAGATATCCGCATAGGAGATTAGATGAGGCTGGGGACTTAGGGGCACAGATTAGAGTCACCCCCCTTGAAGTCGAGGGGCTCCTCAGGGCATTGGACATTACAAAGGCGCCAGGCCCTGATGGGTTACATCTGAGAGCAGGGCATAGTTGACTGACTGAAAGCAGAGGGTAACCATTAGCAGGGAATCATCGGGATGGCAGCCAGTAACAAGCGGGGTCCCCAGGGCTCTGTCCTGGGGCCGATCCTGTTTAATCCTTTCATTAACGACATGGAAGAAGGGGTGAACAGTCTGCTGATCAAATTCGCAGACGACACTAAAACTGGAGCAGTGGCCACAACTGAGGAGCAGGTACTCCAGATCCAAAAGAATCTGGACAGACTATGGAAGTGGGCAGGAGACAACAGGATGGCGTTCAATGTGGATAAGTGCAAGGTCTTGCACTTGGGGCATAGGAATAGGTGTCATAAGTACAGGTTAGGAGACAAGTGGCTGGAGAGCAGCACTTGTGAAAGGGACCTCGGGGTACTGGTTGACTGCAGGCTAAACATGAGTCAGCAGTGTGATGCAGTGGTCAAGAGGGCGAACGCCACCCTTGGTTGCATAGCCAGAAGTGTGGCTTCTAGATCAAGAGAGGTATTACTACCACTCTACACGACTCTGGTGCGCCCGCAATTGGAGTGTTGTGTTCAGTTTTGGGACCCTCATTACAGAAAGGATATAGCCAGGTTGGAGTCAGTGCAGTGTAGGGCCACAAGGTTGGTGGCCAGTTTGCAGGGGATGCCGTATGAGGCGAAACTGAGGGAACTGGGTCTCTTCAGCCTGGAGGAGACTCAGAGGGGCTTTGTTGATGACATACAGGTATGTGAGGGGATGTCACATGGATGGGTAGAGACCTGTTCTCCCCTGCAGAGGAAGGCAGGACACGCTCCAATGGAGCAAAGCTCAGGGAGCCAAGGTTCCATTTGGATGCCAGGAAGCACTTCTTGACAGTCAGGACCCTGAAGGTGTGGAATGGGCTTCCACGAGAGGTCGTTGAGGCCCCATAGGTGCGAGTGTTCAAGGATAGGCTGGACGTCCACATGGTGGGCATGTCGTGAGCGGAGCCAGCTGGTGCCGGAGGTCAGACTAGATGGCCCAGGAGACCCCTTCTGACTTGCTCTGTTTCTATGTTTCTAAACAAGCACTGTGAAGCCTTTAGGAAAATAGAATTGGAAATCTTACTTGCATTTACAGCTACTCCATAGGCAACCGTCTTATGAAACGTGATATTTTTGTCAAGTTGCCGTCTCAGTACTCCTCTGTTGCACTAGATGAATAGAAGAAAAAAGCTACTTCAAAACTCCATCTTCATGAGTTTGAGACTGTGTTTGGACATAACAATAAACAATGGGTATCATGTCAGTAATGTGTCTAAGTAAACCTTGGTCTAACATATACTTCCTCCCTTGACCTCCCCTCATCTGTCCTGCTCACAAGAAAGAGATAGCATTACACCACACCCTAAACTATGGATAAACTTAACTATAGTTTACTACAACAAGGCACCACATAAAGTTGGCTTGTTTCAGTAAATCTCTGTTACAATTAATAGCAGTTTATCCAGTTTGTGCTTAAGGTTGAACTAATAAATCAATAAAAACAAAACATTTCCAGTGTCTTCACAGCTGTACTGGAGCAGAAGCAGAGAGTGAGGGAGTGCATGAGACTAATTCTGATAGTGCTTAACTGCAGCTTATCATTATATCTACATGCAGCTTGAAATGCAGGGGTTTAAAGTATTTAACTTATTCCTTTCCTTTTCCTTTTTGTTATTTTTCTGCCACACCCATCACAGAAAGCCTCAGGGCGGCTTACAAGGCAGATAAAACATAGAATAGGATAACATTAAAAATTCGGACTATCTCGGCCATAATTTAAAACCAATAAATAAGAACAACAAATTAACAATTAAAATATCATTTAAATAAAAAGGTCTTGGCCTGGTGCCGAAAAACAAATAATGACAGCGCCAGGTGGACCTCTCTGGGGAGCGCATTCCATAGGCGCATTCCTCCTCCGGGTACTCACCCTCCTAATATCCTTCACAGAGGACTCCCGGAGAAGGGCCTCCTCTGCCGATCTTAAGGGCCGGGAGGGCATATATGGATGCAAGCACTCCTTTAGCTAACCAGGTCCCAAGCTGTTGAGGGCTTTATAGGTGATAACCAACACCTTGAATTGGGCCCGAACTTCAATGGGGAGCCAGTGAAGCTAACGGAGGACTGGGGTTATATGAGAACAATGCCCAGTCCCCATCAGCAACCTGGCAGCTCTATTTTGCACCAATTGAAGTATCCGGACCGTCTTCAAGGGCAGCCCCACACAGAGCGCGTTACAGAAATCTAATCGGGAAGTTACCAATGCATGTGTTACAGTCGTCAGGCAGTCGTTCTCCAGGTAGAGATGCAGCTGATGGATCAGCCAAAGCTGAAGGAAGGCGCTCCTCGCCACCGCTGTTACTTGAGCTTCTAATGACAGCTCTGGGTCGAGGAGCACTCCCAAGCTGCGAACCCTGTCCCTAAGAGGGAGTGCAACCCCGTTCAGGACAAGGTCCAGGTCCCCCCATTATCCATTAATTATAGCACAAACATGTATTGTTTGCATATGGAAAACACATTCATTGTAGGAATTAAATATTTGTTAAATGTTGACATGGCCATACTTGGCCATTATGAGATAAGATTCATGGCCATGATCCTACGGCTTTTCTTTGCTGTCTAGGATAGACAGAGTCCCTGCTCTGTCCTTGCTCTTGGAAATGAATTCCAAGGTTGGAGTTGAGACTCTAGGTCCAGAAAGCCCTCTCTCTGTCCTCACAGTGAGTATGCTGCTTTGAGTGCCTTCTTCCAAGAGTGCCGTTTTGGAACCACTATGTGGGGGGGAGGGCATTCTGGGGGTGCAGAGAAGGGAGATGTGTAGAATCCCACAACCCCTCCTCCTTATGGGCAGGGGCAAAAGGCACACACAGCTGAAATTGGCCATCCAGGAGAAGTGCAGAGGAAATCCTTGCACGTGATTGAAGGTTACACTGAATGGTGCTCACAATGTTTTGAATTGGGCAAGCCTAGAAGAATACAATGTAATGCATTATTATAATGACACATTGGAAAACACGTGCTCAGATATATGGGCTTGATACGGCAGAAAGAGTGTTCAGTTTTTAAGACTTTTTAAAAGTATATTATCTTTTTCCAAGAGTGCCTTTTCCTTTTGTATACATATTTGATTGTTAAATAAACAGATTTACAATATTCCATCTGTCTGTCTATCCAAAATTCTCACAGAACTGATTATCCATCTCCTACTCAGTACTCATGGCTTTCTGGGCTGTAGATATACCTACGCTCTGCTCTGGTTTGTACACTAACCCATGAGATATAATAGACTGCTTAACTCTGAGATGGTGTGATATGTAAGTCCAGCCAAAGAATCACAGTTTGTACCTGGTTATAACCTCTATGTTATTTAAATCATGGCGTGTTGTTACATGTGCACTCAGAACCAGGAATCTTTTGTGGTTTGCTTGCCAGGCTGCAGGAGGGGAACGCAGGAGTGCTTAAAAAAAATCTAGTTGCTCTACAAACCAAAACCATAGCACTACAAAGACATTTGGGATATGGGGCAAAAGAAAATGGAAACAAATAAGCTGGGAAATGAGTAAACAATCCATTTTTTATCACTTGTCAGGCAAACCATGGTTACCTAAACCATGGCACCAAACAATGGTTACCTAAATCATAGATTAGCATTTTGCATGAACGAGGCCAGAGAGTTACAACAGTTTTGAAAGCAGCTTTACAGAGCTTCCTGCGAAGTACTGTGCAAGTTATTGTTCTGAGAAAATGCTGTGAAGAAGTAGTTTCCCAATTCACAGGGGTTCCTTTATTCGAAGCCATAACACTTGAACAGCATGGATGGTATGGTGTAAAATTGTCCTCATTATCACTACTCATTAGTGGAAAAATACTAGTCAAAACTGAAAATTACACTCGTGCATAATATAAAGTCACAATGTAGTAATAAAGTCAGGCATGATAAGATCACAGTGAGATTAATTCTCCTACGTTTGTGTGGTACGTATGTTCTGTGCATATGCCTTCCCATGTTGAGAGTTGCTACTTAAGGCAACCTGCACTTGCGACACAGTAATTCCTTAGCTGTGCTTTCTTCCTTGCTTTCTTCTCTAGCAGACAAGAATGACTGGCCACCTAGCATGTTCTACACTCTGAATAAACTGTGGGTTGGATCCAGAGCTATCCTTCTATGGACAGAAAGGCTCCTGTCCACAGAAGTGACCAAGATGCATTGGAGGCTCCCCTGGAGAAGAGGGGAAGGTGGCTTTGGCTATTCCTTCTGGCAAACCTCATTGACATTTACTTCAATGTTCCAGAGTGCTCCCATTTCTCAGCAATTTTTCAAGGGGCATGGGATGCAAGGGAAAGGAAGGATCAGTACAAATTGATCCTTCTTTCCTCCTATTGGAAAGTCCTGCTGAGTAGAGCTCCACTCTTATGAATGCTGCATCTAAGCCCATGTTCCATAACCAGTTCTTTTCTAAAAAGTATGCTTTAGTGAAGTTATATTTGCAATGCTCAAGTGCTCCTATGAAAAATGTACTTCTTGCTACGATTTTCCACTTGAAGTAACTGCTACAGTTTATCTGCTTCTATTAAATCACAAAATGTGCATTTCTAGTACAGCGGTCTGAAATCAAACTAAACAGATGAACACTGTCGATAATAGTTTAAAAGGCAATAGTTGCGCGATAGACAAGAATACTTACAAAATGTGTTCCCCTTAAGAATGAAATAAGGTTTCTACTGACTGGTAAGAGGATTAGCAGGCAGTTGAAGTTGAGACAAGTGGCAGAAGCTCTTGCCCAGGCGAGTGTGGACTGCACAGAGAATGAAAAAAAACATCACACATTGGAAAATCACCCTCGGCATCCTCAGCACCTAACAGCAACTGCAGGGAAGTGAGGAGGGGTTGTGGAGTGGGCTGGGGGAATTGGCAGAGAAGTCAGAAATTCAGGTCTGAATGGCGTCGCAGGGTTTTCAAAGGGTGGGCACTAGCTGTGGTTCCAAGGTACATTTGGGCTTCACTTTAGACAGGGGAAATGTCTAGGGTGCACATTACCTTTGTCTGCCCCTCACAACTTGCCGCACCAGCAAAAGAGTTCAGGGAGACTGGAAAAGTGATGCGCCACTTCATTGACGCCATTGTGTTGAGCTGGCAGGATGCGATGCTCCGGCAGCAAGTGGTTGCGGTGAGGCAGTGGTGTTTCACTAAAGGCACTTTGGAGGTTGCAGGGAGAGGAGTGATTTTAAAAAAGCAGTCAAATTATGACTGACAAAGAAATCCTAATATATGGATGCAAGAATATATGGATGGATATATTCTTAAGGAACAAATTAAAACAAGTAAAATGGGAATAGTTGGGATTTTTTCCATAAGCAATCAAATACTTAGAGAAATGACTATGCATCATTTGGATGCAAAATTAGAAAGAAGCCTAGTAGCAGAATGTCATGCAAGACTTAGGTGTGCATAAGAATGAAGATTCACGGCTAAGAAAACATCTCCTTGTGGAGGCATTTAAGAATTGTTTACTTACACCTAGTATAACCCGTGTATAGAGATAGGCATATTCTTCTTCATACCAGTTGAATGTGTCGATAAAGAGGTATATGTTCATTCCCAGCCACAATAACTGCAACAGAAAAGTTTTCACCAATCAACACTGAAGGGTCTGTCAGTTTTATAATTTCTTCCTAAGGGCTTTGGAAAATTCATAAGGGCCATTCTAACATGCAGATAAAGAAGATAGCAGAGAGAATCTAGTCTCCCACCTAGAACCACTTAAAATACAAAATACAGTCAAGAAATCTCATGACTACATGGCATTTCTCAAGTAGAGCCTGATTTGAATAGATGCATGTCTTTCAAAAAGAAGTTTCTGTGCATCAGGTGCAGAGATATAGCAAAACTTAAGAAAAAGTTGAGAGTTCATATAAAACATCAGAAAATTAATCAGAGTCAGTAGCTTGATTATGAAATAGATACTTACAAATAACAGAACTGACAAGCTTTCATTCAAAATCCAATACACCATCTTGATTGTCTCTGTTCCGTGCTGTAACAATTCACTATTTCCTTGTAATACAAATTGAGTTCTCTGGATCTTCCCTTTGCTGCATAATCAACTCTCTGGAGTAGCAGCCTAGGAATATTCTAATTAAGGACTTCCTACCAGATGTCAGTCTCCAAAAGGGACATCGTCTGTGATGTGAGAAACTAATAGGCAGTTTCCGACTAAATTATTTTGGAAGAAATGAAAGGTTTGCTCTAATCAGTAAATTCTCCCCTCTCCCTCCAAAACTATCCACACAATTGCAAGCCACAATGTAAGAATCCCTCACAGATTGTTTCTATTGCAAGCAAAGGTAATGAAGCAGTTAGCATAATTTTGTGTCAATGTAATATATGGGATAGCGCCAAAGATGGAAAGGCAGAGCTTTTAATCTGCCCATCCCCCGCCTCCCAGAAGCACTTGCTGCAACAAAGATCACCCTAAGCTTAAGCTCTTGTAAACCACCCAGAGCCTATGGGAATGGGATGGTATATAACAATGAAAGGAATGAATAAACTGTAAAGACCAGGGGCCCTGATGGCCTCCAACGCATCTGATCCCTCTGGATGAGCTGGCTTTTCCCCACATGCACAACACTTCTTGCTCTCCCCACCCACCTGGAATCTTTTTGCCTGAGGTCTTTTTCTGAAAATAAATGCCCCTCATCACATCCATACATCCCTTTACAAATAGGGCCATCCTTAGGATGCAGGCCCCTTTAAAGCCCACCTCCCAGACACACGCATGCAGCCCAGCTTTAAAGAGCCCTGAGGCCAGCTCTTTCAGTACCCGGCACCTCCCCTGTTGGACGGAACAAGGTCCATGCTGGTTAGAACATGCTGGAATGGTTGGCTTTTTTCCTACCTAAACATGCATAGGATTGTGCTCTTATACGGCAAGCTTGGAATGATAAACACCCACCATTCAGTTGTCTGAGGACTTTACTGCTTTCCCTACGTTTTGCTGATATGCCCTGTTGCTGTTGATTTCATTTGGATCCACTGTTTATACTAAGGAACATATCTAAGGAATGAGTGCTGATTTTTGTCAATGTTACCATGAACTGGCATGGTTTCTTGTTTGTTCTCTCTTTTCTTTTGGTATATTCCAAATTGAAAAGTCAAAGTCTATAAACCCCCCACCCCCATCCTACACAGAACACTTTACCACCCTTGAGGGCAGAAGACAAGTTTAGGGAATATGGAGGAATATACAATTCTCTCCTCCAATATATATCTGCTGCCCCACCATTCCCATTCCGCAGCCTAGGCCACCTGAGATAGTGGCTGCACTTGGCCTAATGGCATGGCCAGCCCTCTGGGGAGTCACTGGACCTTCCAAAATATTTTCTGATTCAGTGTAAAGATTTCACCAGAGTGGGCAAATCTGATGTTTAAGGTGCAAAGGTATTTGCATTGGATTCCAGCTTGCATTCTTTTCCAAGGACTGCACATAATATGTCCGCTTAGAACTCACTTCCACAATATCAAAGGACTGATAAAAAGAAATATGAGCTAGAAAGATCATTATTTACTTATTAGGTTGATGGGTGTGCATTCTGGAGTGCCTTAGACTCAATCTGTTTAGGCATACAATTGTGTTAAACAAATTAAACACGTGTCTACATATTTTGAATCATAAAATTAACCAATTGTAATGCCAACTTTCTGGGTACTCCTGGAATGTGAATGTATTAATTGTATATTACTTCTTCTCCAAACATAAGCTCGCACAAACCTTTGAGAAGAATTATTTTTGCCAGAAAGTATTTTTCATGCCAAGAATCAATCCTAGTATCTGGTAAGTAACAGTGGAGAACAGTTTACCTCTGCCCATGCCTAAAATGGCTTTTCCTTCCCACTATATAACCAAAACCAATGCTACTTCTGCTTTCCCTGGCAGGGCTACTTTGCCCTTAGGGCACCAGGGCCAGCCCTGCCTTTGGGCAAGCTGAGGTTGCTGCTCCAAGAAACAAGTGGGACCTCACCCCAGTCCTAATGGGCATCCATCTCAGATGGACACAGAAGGTGAAGGATACAGCTGTGAGTGACCCAGAAGCCTGAAGGTTCACCTGTGCCCCATAAGCCAGCTTGCTGCCCTTTGCTGCTGCCCTTTTGAAGTGTTGAAGCAAATTCAACTAGAGTCTGGTTGGCTTCCAAACCTGGGCACCACCTTGTCCTTCACCTCCACAGCAAAACGCCCCAAGAGACTTGACAGACAAATATTCTACAATGTGAATGCTATTTCATAAGGAGGGAGGTGGAAAACCATCCTGAAGAATTCCGTCTATCACACACCTGTTTCAGACCAGTGGGCCGATCCATTAACAGAAATTTTCTGTATGAACAGCAGGTAGCTGTTTTGAGGTGAGGGAATATCTTCTATTTATTTCAAACATTATATGCTGCTCTTCCTATGCTCATAGCAACTTACATTGCTATGATCAGCAACCCAGGCAGAAACTGTCAACTAATCAAATATAAACAAAAGGCAAACCAACCAGAATCACCAAGAACCTCCCAATTAGAAAGAACTTGTAGCCTTTTGAAAAGGTGCACTGCCAGTTTGACTCATCCTCCCCACACGAGAAAGACAAAGCATGAGCGTAATGCTCTTGGGCAGTCTCAGCCGCCAGCTCTGGGTGCAGAGACTGAATGCACAGTTACTCTCTCACTTTGCCCCTTTTTGAGTGGTGGGGCTTCGGGGAGTGGGAGGTGGGAATGGCCTCACCTGAGGCTCTACAGGCCAAGTGGGCCAACCTAGCTGGCCATACTGGCCCATGAGCTGGAATATCCTGTTCTTGGGTTGGGTGTCAGGCAGACTTGCTTTTTTTAAGGTTTCTTGTTCATAGAAGGTGCAATTAGTAATAGTAATAGTAATAGTAATAGTAATAGTAATGCATATCAGAAACAATACAGTTTTTTATTACAGCTAAAGAGAAAAGAAAATGAGGAAGCAGCAAAGAAGTGGGATCTGAGGATGACTAAGTTCAGATGTTTCTTTTTTCTTTTCTTTTTTCTTTTTCTTTCTTTTTTTTAAGAGAAAGCCAGCATCTGAATTAGCCATACTTCAAAGCAAAAGACCTGTACGAGACTTTCTGCTTTGAAGTACAGCTGATCCAGACACCAATTTTCTAAAATGAGTATTTTTTTTTAAAGACATCTGACTGGGATTTTTCCAAGTACAACAGAGTCAGAAGCTGCTTTGGATTCCTAAACTTGTCTGTGCTTATAGCTGTACTTCAAAGAAGAATAGCTCAGTGGCGCGTTCTGCTTTGAAGTGCATCTCATCCAGATGCTAGTTTTCTTAGCGAATCCAGAACTTGTACATGGACTGAGAGCTCTTCTCTAAATTATTATTTGGCAGGCAGTAGAGTGCATTCTGTCATATAAAATCAATTAGTATAAAGATGAATGAAGTGATGGGGTAACTTTGCCAGCTGTATGGGGTAACTTTGCCATTGCCATCAGGGAGAAATAGTTACCTCTTTTTGTCTGATGTAAGCAACTGACTGAAGTTAACACATTTGAGTATAGTAAAAACAGAGGACACTCTGTATGTGCAGTATGTTTATGGAGTTGTCCAATTAAATAGAAATAGCAGCCAACACTTTGAGGAGAAATTCATATGGTTCACATTTTAATGAAAACTTACCTCATTTGCACCTTCTGAACAATATGCAAAATAATGAATCAATATGCAAAATAATGTACAAAATGTGTGCATTAGGAGAAATATGCATGAATTCTCATGTGGACTTTACAATTAAAAAAGCAAACTGATGTAGCAGTGGGAGAAACAAAATAAAGTGGGAGATAGAGACACCAGAACTGACAAAGGACTTCGCTAGATGAGGCCTTCAGTGCTTTATTGGGGTTTCTTGTCCCATTTTCTTTCCTTGAGGAAGAACTGGCTTTTGCACAAGACAGTCCTCATCCAGGGGACAAGAAGGTTCCTCTGAACCTTTCTCTATGTTCCTACATGTTCCATTACATAACAAAGGTAGTGCTGTGGAATTGAGTGGAGCTTAAACTTTATACAAGACTTCTGCCTCGAATCCTGGCGTCATCCAGGGAAATACAACAGTATCCTCACTCTATAAACAGCCATAGAAATGGCTGACAAACATGGAAGAGGTCCTGAAGGATTCTGAGCACACAATAAATGCCTCATGTAGAAAGCCCAAATCCGTCCATCCATTGTTGCTGTCTCCTGTTTCTTACAGGTCTGAAGACTAATCAACTTTCCTTGAAAAGAACAGCCAATACCCATAGGAGAGAATCCTGGTGACACTGCCCAGCTTACTCATGGGGAATCATGTCATAAATGCCACCTGTCTCTAATCATCAAAGGCAGCTCATCTCTGGTGCTGTCTGTCCCTATTCCATCCATCTTTTGTCTTCTGCATACATTTTGGGGTGCCTTTTAAAATTTTAATGAATTGTCTTGTAGCATCATAAAGGTTAATAAAATATGCCTTTGAAGACTAGACTCTACTTCAACAGGTGCTACAAAACTTCTGGATGTTTTTGCTGCAGCAGACCTAATGACTACTACTCTGAATATGTTTTAATTTCTTGCTAGCAAAAAATGGAGCCAAGTAAGACACTCTTCAGATTTTAACTGGCTTCCCAACTTTGTAGAAATGAAATCTGTTGAGCAGAAGTATGCATCTTGACTGGAGAATACTCATATTCTGCTTGAGGATTTCCTGTGGACAGCTGGTTGGCCACTGTATACTCAGAATGCTTTATGAGATGGACCACTGGTGTGATCCAGCATGGCTGTTCATACTTTTTATGTGTAAGCACACATATGTGGTGCATACTAGCTGGGTTTTGCTTCCCTTCTGTTTCGGAATCCACTGGGGATAGGAATCCATGGATTTCCTGGGCTTGGCTCCCTGGAGCCTGTTCCATTTTGCAGCAGCCTTGAGTCAGGGCTGTGGAGCGGGTGGGTTTCCCTTCAGGCCATACTGCATC